TTCATTATCACATATGCATTTACTCTTCGTGATCGATCTTTACCGACGGGATTAAATCCTCATGTTTCTTCATGTGATTATCTTTTTCCTCTACAGATTTCCGTTTATTATAGGTTTGTTTTTGGCATTTTTTAACCTTACTAGGTTCGCTGTTATGAATTATAGCAACTTGAGGTGTTGTGCTTTTCTACAAAGTTATCTGTTAATGTATATATATATATACATATGTTGTAGTTCTTAATTATGAAATGCTAACTTATTTTGGTGTTGCAGGTTATATCATCGTTGTCTGATTACCTATCTGTCAGATGTATAGCATGTTGTGGTGGACGAAACAACACAATGCAAATGGCTCGTGAACTGGATAAAGGTGTTCATCATATTGTAGTTGGAACACCAGGTCGAGTGTTAGGTATGTGTATGTGTGTAGGTTGGTGGTCTTGCCGGTTTATTCTTAAATGTGTTACTTTTGTTCACTTAGAATATATGCCGATGATGATGATGAAGACGCTGAGGAAACACAGTCTCTTCTGAACACCTTGGACAGTCCTCTTCGAGTGTTTTTAGCATGTAATTTCACTCTGCAGGATTCATGTTGTACTCCGACTGCGCAGGTTAAAAATAGGCAGGCAGTAAAGGGGGGGTAGAACGTGTTGACTGCCCACCACTTCACGTATTCGGGAAGTTGAATCACTCCCCCCCCCACCAACACCACCACCAAAAAAGGCTGATTTCTGACGAAATCTCAGCGCAGCCTAGTGTGTAGCATCTCTGGCATAGACGAGATATCTCGAGCTATCCATCAAAAGAGATTTGTGTACTGTGTTCACCAGTTCACTCCGTCGTCGTCGTCTCCTTAATGAGTGGCTATGAGACATGGTCATTGAAAATAGAGAAGATAGGAAAAGCCAGGTGCTAGCTAGCTCTGTCTTTGATTGCAGGTGTCTGTGTGTCTATCTCCCGTGTTAGTTAGTTGGTATAATGCGGTGAGTAATATTTATTGAGGTATTGTTGAGGGGAAGCTAATCGATGAGGTTGTGTGTGAATATCTACATCAACTGAGATGGCTAGACTCTATGTGTTACGCATACTTAGTTGTCGGCTTCCTCGATGAGAAAGATAAGATGAGTTTGGAAAAGAGTTAGTAGTGGTTGTTAAACGAAAACATGGAATTTGTCCATGAAATCATTGGCAATTTCATACATTTATTTCCCCCCCCCCGCTTAATGAATTTGAACAAAGCAAGAACTACAGTGGTTTTGCAGAATAAAGTGGTACCATCTTTTGTTTATTTCGTTGCCTTCTCGTCAGCTGCTTACAGGCCAGTCATTATTAAGTATATCTACAAAAACAATTTTAACATACTTGTACTTGTTTTAGCAGGTATATATTCATGTCCAACCTTGAAAGAACAAAGTTGAAGCGTACAATCGACGAAACAACTTCCTAATGTCGATATGTTGATGACACATTTATAGTGTGCAACAATGAAAGTCATGCTTCACACTTACTCAGATTATTCAATGATGCACATACCAATATCGAGTTTACTATGGAACATAAAAGTGACGGAAAGTTCCACTTCCTCGACATTGCCATGGAACGCCTAGAAGACGGTAGTCTTCAAAAGTCAATTTATCGAAAGCCCACATGGAAAGGACAATACTTTCATTTTAATAGCTTTCGTACAAATAGCTTTAAACACGGACTAGTCAAGACTCTGTACTATAGAGCTAGGAGAATATGCTCTACAGAGAAATTAGAGGAAGAATTTGAGTTTCTTGAAAAGATATTGAAGAACAATGGGTACCCTCAAACGTTCATCAAAAAGTATGGAAGATCTGAAGGCACAAATCACAGTGGGTAAAAAGCCAATCTACATTCAGCTTGATTATAAAGGTGAAAACATTGCAACGATGATCAACAGAAGGCTGAGTACATCACTAGCCAGAGCCTATCCTGCAGCTAAGCTCGTCCCCGTCTATCAAACAACTTGCTCTTTGATGCAATCAAAAATCGATAGGTATCCTTCTCATGTTAACTCCAACTGTATATACAAATCTACATGTATCTGTGGGAGCAGTTACATTGGAAGGACAGAAAGAAAGAAGGGCATATCTACGATTTTCTGAACATGTACCAAAAAGCTTACGTCTAAAGGGAACAAATGCTTTAAACAGTGCAATCGCCAGACATCTCCTTGACGCGGGTCGGTCATGAGGTGGACGTCGCAAAATCGTTCAAAATTATCAATAGGCAAAAGAGCTCAATTCTCCTCAAGTTTGCTGAAGCCATTTCTATCAAGCGCCTGAAACCTGATTTATGCGTCCAGAAAGAAGCGGTTATCAGTCTTTCTTTGCCAACCTGGTAACTGGCTGGATATTTTCATCTCTCTCTTTCATCTGAATGCGTAATGCTGAAAAGTTTCCATTGTGTATGATTATTATTGTTCGGAATAGTGTTCAATATTACATATATATATATGTATGCAGATATTGATCGATTGATTGATTTTTGCTCAAAATGAACTCTGTGCAAGTATGTTAAAACTGTTTTTGTAGATACATTTAATAATGTCTTTGCCCTGTAAGCAGATGATGAGAAGGCAACGAAATAAAAGATGGTACCACTTTATTCTGCAAAACTGTAGTTCTTACTTTGCTCAGAATCATTGGCAGTTAGGTGTGGACTTCCTGAGTGGTTGGAACCATCGAGATTCTAAGAAGTAGTGGCTAGAGACAATTAGTGTGATATGGTTGAAAATCCTTCTCGGTGATAGTGCGGATGCATTCACTCCTCTGTAATCTGCCATATCTATAAAAGACCCTCTTGCTTTTCTATGTTACTATTCTTTCTCCTTCACATTTTTGCTTATTAACGTTCTCCAAAATCTCTTTTATTTCTATTTTGTCTTCCTTTGTGTGGAACATGCAGGGAGTGTGGCAAGTTGAACTGGTGCACTCTTGTGAAGAGTTCTGTGCTAAAACCAATCAGTTTTTCTGTCTTGAAGTTTGTTGACTAGCTATTCACGGCCGTCACAGTATGTTACTACTACACCTTTGGAGGATTGACTGTTATGACATGAGGTAAGAATGATCAACCTCACATTAAGAAAACCATTGTACTATTGTTCATTCACTTCCGAATAATGGATCATGCTTTTCGATCCTAATCTACTATTTGTTATCGTTATTGTCAAACACGTGATTTTTATTATTATTATTATTACTATTCCCTTTGGTTCCGAGTGGAACATATGACTTCAACAACACAACTCCGCTTTCTTCTATTCTCTACTGTCCTCTTCACATGGCTAGTCCCACGATTCCCCATAATGTCTCATCTCCTCATCCAACTCCCCCACACGATCTCCTCCATGTCACCCTCGCACCGACGATCCACTCACCGTCGCTTCTCATGGGGATTCCAATTGAGCGACAGCCTGCATTGCGCCCGATGTCACTCGACGGTCTCCTGAGCGTATGCCTAATCAATCCATCTCCATTTTCTCCCGCATATTTGTTGAGCAATCGACGGCTCTTGGTTGGTTCACCCATTGCCAGCCAGAGTTTCTTGCTGTTAATTCTTTCTGGACGGCTGACTGGCTGGCTTGCCATTTGATCGTGAGTATGAAACCAGCCAGCCAGAGAATGTGGCAAGTGTTGATAAAAGTTTGGAACTGCTTTTCGTGACTCACGTCCAGTGCAATTTTCTCATCTATATAGAAGTGACTGACTGGCTGACTTCATTGATATTTGTGTTGAAAATGCGAATCTTATTGTTGATGCTGATGCGGAGTAGAGAAGATTTCCAAAGTGGTTTCAGATTGATGAAGGCGTATCTTGCTTGTCTTTCCGATTCTGGCTGGCTGGCTTTGACATCTTGATCCGTTCTGACTATCTGTGGTGAAGGCAGGAAGTGATCTCTTTCAACACCTTTCTCCCGTCGATGGTGATTGGTGTTGTTTGTTACTGTTGCTGTTGGTGGTTGGTTGGTTGGTTATCTTTATCACCTCCGTCTCCACCTTCTGTATGTTTATCACCTGGATGGAGTCAGTCGTGTCTTCTCCGCCTGCTTCATAGTCTTTGAGTTTGTGTTTGTTTGTCATTCAACGGCGTAAATCACACACACACACACACGTGAAATCCAGATCTTCTAGAGTCTTGTCATCGGTCAGTACAGCGTATTCCTATCTTCTCATTCACTCCCTGTGCACAGTCTGACGCATAATCCAGTCCACCAAATTAAGGAGATCATCGTTGATGATAATAGGCAGCCATCCAGTCAACTTGTCTTACTCCTGTATTCTCTCATTTCAAAGACAGACTTCGCTGAGTTTTCCGTTGTGGACCACCTGACATGTGACATTGTCATATAGCTGTTGAATGAGGTCGATGAAGAGTTGGGGCACTGCATAGTTTTGAAGGAGTTTCCAAATTATTTCTCGGTCATCGCTGTCTGTTGAAGGCTTTTTCGAAGTGGTTGAAGTTGAGGCAGGGAGAAGGTTGACTGTCATTCTATGCTTTGTTCCGTAATGATGATGATGATGATGCGTAGAGTTGCAAGCACTTCGGTCCAACCAACCGGAAATCTAAATTCAATTAAATAATTAATATGACCACCTGTTGCACAAGAGGTGGCTCTGGTGGCCCAAGTGGCCTAGTGGTTAACGCTTTGGCGTTTGAAACTATGGGCATTGGGTTCGAGCCTCCGTGGTGGGAACATCACCACTGACTCACTGGGGAATGCAGGTACATGCATCTGACGAGCCCCAAATAGGACGAAGTGTGCATTATCCTGGACTGGATTCCACTGCTAGTCACCATCCACCAATTATATTTCTCATTATGTCCACTAGAAGAAACTTCTGGAACTCTTAAAGTAATGTCAAAGGAAACCTGTATAGCCGTCTTAGGAAGCAAAAAGAAAGAAAGAAAGAAGAGGCGCGACAGGTAATGGCTCTCTACGGACACTTGGAAGTTAATAGAGGCGAGATGAGTGGTGAGATGCAAAAGATGAACAAGGACAAAGAAGCTGATTTCGATCTACGGCACACACACTGTACAGTGAAGTGAAGGGAAGTGTTAGGAAAGACAAAAGACAATTCCATGATACACTGCCTGACAACTGAGAAGCAAAACAGGCCTCAGGTGTACTACGGCACAAACTAGAAAGGGAAGATTCACAAGTGGAAGCCAACAAGAGGTTGGTTGACTGAGAAGACAGGACTTCAGGTGAACATTAAGTAGGATAGATAGAGCCAATGAAAATACCCAATAACCAACAAGAACAAGCACCAATCACCATCAACACGTGGGGAATTTAACGGTCACCGCTTTAACTTATTTGGGCAATGTCGATTCACAGCTACACACACACACACATCACAGATGAGGATGTCAAAGTCAGCCA